GGTCAACCCTGTCGACCCTCCTTCTCTGCGGCTGAGACGTACCTGTGGGAGGTGCAGCAGCTTGCGGAGCGGTAGGGCTCGCGGCCCTCTTGGGCCACACAGGTCTGACCACATTAGGGCCAGCTGATCCCGAGGCAGGGGGATGAGGCTTTGGTCGTTGCGGGACGCGGAAGGAGGGGTTAAAGCCAGGCCTAGGGCTCCCACAAGTCATATTTGACCTTGGGAGCGTATGTAGCTGGCTGTTTTTGTTGGAGACAGAGGTGAAGCGCCTCTTCATCCCGCTTCCTGGCTTAGCACTGCTGTTGCATGGAGGAAAGAGCTGAGCCAAAAATACCCTCCGGGACGACCGGCATGTCCAATGCGTCTTCTTTCTCTTTATCAGACAGATTGTTCAAGTTTAACCACCTTGCCCTTTCCTGTAGCGCCAACATTTTCCAACAGCCTGAACAGCGCAACATTGTACACGTAGGCATAGGTCAGAAACAGTGGTATAATTGTCCCATGCAGCTCTGTCAGGGACAGTGGACATGTCGTCAAATAGCTCCGCTTGGTACGCGGTCAACATGGTGACTTTAAGCGCTCTGACCAAAAGAGCCACCGCCTTGTACTCTCGTTCAGTCATGGTGGACTGAAAACGATCAGCTTTTGAGGGGTGCAGATGGGCCGTCACCACGGGCTTGGTCTGAGGCACATGAGCCATGTCGAGTTTGTCCTATTGACAAGCTGCTCCAGGCGGTGTCAGCCATAGCCTGAGTGTCTAGTCTGAGCTGGTGTGCTGCGGCAGCGGGCTCAGGCTCGATCATACCCGGGTCTGGTGCAGCTAACAGATAATAACTCCAAAGCTAGTCATGCATAGGGTGACCATAGGTTCCGATTTACCCGGGACAGTCCCAATTTTGAGCTCCCCGTCCCGGCGGATTTCACCAGCCCCATAGTTTTGTCCCACTTTTACTGACGCTTTGTCCCGGGCGTCCCCATTTATTTTCTTTATTCAATGTTAAAAAGCTATTACAGCTCACGGTGAATCTTGTTGTCTTTGGGCAATGCGTATGCCAATATAGCAATTTATATTATGAACCAATCACAAAAGCTCAACAGTCCTCCATGTGTCTGTAGCTTGATTCTCATTGGTCCATGGCATTGACATTACGGTCACAACAAAACGCTATGGAACAACTTTCCTCTTCTCAACATGCCTAAAAGAAAGTCGAGGCTAACCAAAGAACTCCTGGAACAGTTTTCTCAAGAAAGTACCGGGTAAGGAGAATACTGCCTTTTGTACACTTTGTAAGTGCGAGTTTACCGTGGCTCATGGCGGAAAAAGCGGACGTGCAGAGCTACGGGAAAAACTAACAAAACACTTTGAAACATGGATCTATAATAATAACTGGATAGGGTATTACTAGCTGTTAGTAGAGTTGTTGGATTTTCATTAAAGTGAATTAGAATATATTCAAAGTTTAGACAGATTTGGGTTAACCTACGTGTGTGATGGGATGTGATGGACGCATCAGCAGCATTCTCCCATCCCCCAGCCATTAAACACAGGAAGTTAAATTAAGAAGAGCGCAGAGAACATCTGTTTAGAGTAGCCTCAGGCTTACTTTGAGAGGGGCTATTTGTTTGTTCTGAACATAGAAGGTATTGTCTTCACCTAAGGATGGTGGGACATATTGTTGCATGTGTTTCAAATTATCATGGTATAAGACCAGAGCTCTTGGTCCATTTCTTTGTCACTCTGCTGCTTTCCATCCAGCAGAGACCCAGACTAGACTGTAGTCTGTAACTTGTCTGTTTGTGCTGATGTCCATATAACCTGTAGTTTTGAACCAGCGGCTGACAACATGTATTAACCCTCTAGGCGCCACGGTCGACTTAAGTCGACAAGCTGCGGTACTGTTAAAAACGGCCGAGTGTGACCAACTGAGTGTCAAAATTCATTCATACTCCCTGCCACTAGTTGGCAGACATGTCAGACTACCTCCCTGGCCCCAAAAAACGTCATGCTCCTATACAAAATATTCGAGCAAGACCGCGTTGAACCAGTGCGGAAATCATAGCGAAGCGACTGCAGCTGCGGGGCAGCCTGCGAGTGTTATACCGCACCAAACACTAACTTTAGACACTTTGTACAGGGTCTGCAGTGGGAACAGTGTTTCTCAGAGTAAGGCCAAGTCATTGGGAGGTTGGGAGACAGGTTAGATTTGCGGAAAACAAGCCTGGAACTCACGTCGGGGCACCGCGCCGCGACCTCCCGCCTCCGCTGAAGTTTCCGCCAAAGTCTCCGCTAAAAGTGCTTCCCACATATTTATTTTCAAGCCTCACGTAATCACCGGGACAGTAATGTGTTGTAGAAGCCTTGTCTTGTGTGTGTTAGACGAGAGAGAGCAGGGGAGATGAGAGAGAGAGAGTGGGGGAGACAGCAGCAGCAGCAGGGTCGCGGTGACGCGCATCACGTGGAGGCGCGCGTCTGGGCAGACTGCTCACAGCAGCACCATGCTTTATATTTTTTTACTATTTTCATGAACATTTACAATGTTACAGTGTGTGCTCTGTGTGTGCTCATGTTATAGTGATAAATATATGTCTGTCAGTTAGAAAAATACAAATATTGTATGAAAAATCTAAAATCCACTATTTCTAACGCCAAATGACGTCATAATATGCAAATTAGATGGGGGAATTTATTCTCTACATAAACTTTGGACCATCCTTTATATTTTTCTAATTTACAGAAAGCCTTTATCTCTTATCACTTTTAAGTTATAGCCTTTTGAAATTAAGATGTCAAAATTGAGTGTTTTGGAAAAAAACCTCTGGCGCTTAAAGGGTTAAAGAGATTATGTTGTTGAAATGTGAGTAGTTATTCACACTAGCCTACAGCTGTCCCATCCATGGGCACAGGGGGCGCCCGTGGTACTGCAGACTAAATTCACGAGGGCCACCCAGAAAAAAGTCCTATAGAACTCAATGTAAATTAAAACAGCACGACCTCAGCTGACAGAGAACCTACAGCTTTCATAAAGATCGGATTTTGTGGGGATTTTAGTGTCCCTTGCCATCCTGAACTTTTTTACTTCTTAAATCCTTCGGTTTTCTTTAAATCCACACTTTACTGCCACAAACTCTGCTCCTTTCCTTCCCGCTCTGGCTCCTCTCTTCCGCTGCTCTGATTGGTCAGAGCGCGGCCGAGCCCTCTGTATGAGAGGATCAGTGAAAACCGTTGCCTCTTGAAATACTATTGTAAGGGGTTTATATTGATGTTTTGTTTTGGTTATACCCTGTTGTTATTACCTGGTTAGGACCTATTTTGAGTGCGTATTATTATGACGGTGATGAGGTCACGTGCGCTATACAAAAGGTAACTTTGGGTTTGAGAGAGACAGCTCCTCGGGATGGTACTTTTATTCAGTGTACAGCTCCCCATCCGAACACTCCCCTCAAACCCGAGGTTACCTTTTGTCCCAATTTTTTACAATAGTCAGTAAGGCTGCTCAGGGTAATGCATTATTGCTCCTGTTTTGTTTGTGCAATACGTTTTGATGTTTCTAAACAATTAAATGTTTTGCGTGTTTTACTTTGTTTTATTTTTTTGGCAGCCACAATTTGTTTAATCCAACCAGTACTGTTTTCAATAAGCAATTTAATTGTCAACAAGTTTCTTCAGGAGGCACAAGGAAATGTTTATAAGCTGTATCACCTCATTTGACTGCAATACATTTTTGCTTAGTTTCGTTGCAAATATGATTTTTAGTTATATTAAAATGTCCCAATTTTAAATTTAGAAAATCTGGTCACCCTGGTTATGCACGAACTGTCCTGTGTAGTGACAGCTCACGTTCGGCAGCAAAGGGATTAGCTCTTGCCTGTGATCAGTTTAATTAGCCATCAGATGCACTGGAGTTGCGGTAACTTGGCTTAGTGAAGCGAGAATACATAAAATAGCATTTGAGGATGTCTTATCACATGTTGCTCAACAATTGCATAGTTTTGTCATCATTTTTTATTTTTAAGAAAATGAACATTACAAATACCCCTGAGTGTAATCTACTCTCAGTATAACCACAGCTGTGGCTATAAACACTCTGCGGCCTTCAGAGCTTCAGCACGACAGTAGCTCAGTTGGTAGAGCATTGGCCTTAAGCCCAGAAGGTCGTGGGTTCAATTCCCACCTCTGCACCTTCTCCACCGACTCCCACTGATGACTGCTGTCGTTGTGTCCTTGGGCAAGACACTTAACCCCACTTTGCCCAAAGCACCCACTGAAAGATCAAGGCTATGCTCACACTCAGAGAGCAGCCGTCCTCCTGTGGACTCACCACCTGCAGAGGGTCAGTGAGGGGCTGGTGCTATGAGACTTGGGTGGCATCTCTGACTGCCACCCCCCTGACCCAGAAATGGATTAAAGGGTAGAAAATGGATGGATGGATGGGCCTTCAGAGCTAGGTTTGAAGTGCATCTAATCCCTAACCAGCATCATGAAGTCCAAAGAGCACAAATTTGTGTTTATTTACCGCAGTGTTTTTCAACCAGTGTGCCGTGGCACGTTGGTGTGCCTTGAGATGTTTATTAGTGTGCCTTGGAAATGATCCAATATCACCTGCTTGGTCAAAATCATGTGAAAAGAAAAGGGAGATGTTTACAAAGATTTGCTTTATAATACATATTGATGAGAACTACTTTGTTTTGTTTGTAAAGGCTGAAGAGTTTCAAATTTATATCAAATTCAGTTGGTGGTGTGCCATGTGATTCTTTTGCAATGACAAAGGTGTGCCATGGCTCAAAAAGGTTGGAGAACACTGATTTACTGTATACACAAAGCTGTAATTATTCTGAACAGAGAGCTTCTCACGCTGCAGGTGTAATTTATGCTTGACAAATAATTTACTTCCACTTACTGTAAAACGCAGTGACAGAGTTTCTCATTACGTGTGACAGAGGACACACAACTTACTCTGAACTGCCCACTTCTATTGATTTGCTTTATAATTTTGTTCACAATGCTGAATGTTTTTACAGCAAAAGACAAGGGTCCACAGGAGAGGGGGCATTGGGCGAGTAAAGTGGAGTTTCTTCTTGCTGTGGCTGGAAATGTTGTTGGTCTTGGCAACGTTTGGAGATTTCCCTATCTTTGCTACAAAAATGGAGGAGGTAAGTTGTGGCTGACAAAAAGATGAAATTATTATGTTTATAATCTATGTAAATGTGGTAAATTCAGGTGCATTTATGGTGCCGTATCTGGTGTTTGTGGCGACTTGTGGAGTTCCTCTGTTTCTGCTGGAGACCTCCATGGGGCAGTGCACCCAGGAAGGAGGCATCACCTGCTGGAGGAAAGTCTGTCCTTTGGCCGAAGGTACATGCGCAATATATTACCCCTTAAAGTCGATTCAAAGATGACTGCAAGAAATTAGCCTTTGAAAAATAAGGCTTCATTGTCTATGTGTGAATTATCGAATGATAGTAATTGGAATCAGAGCAGCCTTGGAGCAATAATACTCAGCAAAAGCTTACTGCTGAGTGAATTAATAATACACTATTACAACACAACTTTGTAACTTTGTCTGGACAAAACCACTCTTTGAATAAATATTGCTTTATGACAGGACATTCAATCTGGAGTACCAAACTTAATTTTCAACAGAAATAATCAGACAAAGAAAGAAAAATGCACAACAAACAATAATAAGCTGTCTTCTTCTGATCAAAAACATTCTATATTTTGCTTTTTTGTAAGAAAGAGACATGTTTTGACACTTTCGGCTGAGAGTTGATTCCTAAGTCTCTTTTTCACATTTTGTCTGAAAACCCTGTTATAAAGTTGTGACATAGACCAGAAAATATATGCATGTGAAACTAGTGATCAGAGTTTTGTTTTGACAGCTTTGGGTAGTAATTGCAAAGGTTCAATGGAACGTACACAGACTAGAGTAAATAGAAGCTGTTTCTAGTTGCTCCGTGTTTTTCAGGTATTGGTTACGGAGGCTCAGCTGATCCTTCTGTACAGCTGTATTGACCTACATCATCATCTTGGCGTGGGCTCTGCTTTACCTGATCTTCTCCTTCAGCTCTCAGCTTCCAGGGGGCCAGCTGCCAAAACTACTGGAACACTGGTGCGGTGTTGTCCTTTCTCACACAAGTAACAGTCAAACTCCAACGCACTGAATGCATTATTGCCTAAATGATAAATGTCTGTTTTTCAGGCAAACTGTTTGGACTTTACAACAGAAAGCAACACATCATGGGAACAATGACAACGTTATCGACCACTGCTGCCACTGAATTCTGGGAGTACGTTTGGTATTATGCACATTGCGTTTAAAGAAGATATGAGGATTAATTAATTTCGGTTTTGGGTTTTTTAGGCACAGAGTTTTGTCCATCTCCGATGGAATAAGAGCAGAGTGGGCAGCATCCGTGTGGAGATTTTGTTGTGTCTAACAGCCATGTGGATCATTTGCTACTTTTGCACTCTGGAAAGGGGTCACAGTCAACAGGAAAGTAGGTCATTAACGAGAAAATGTGTGAAAAATTGTCAAAGGGGATGTATTTAAAAAAATACACCTGCTGCGATAGTAAGCCACAATGACGAGGCAAGGCCAAACAGAACTGCTGAAAGTGAATGGATTCCCTTCAATTATATCCGGCATTTAAAGAACAAATATGTTGCATCTATTTTTGGGAATTCAAAATAATATTGAGAGTATTTACTTTGACATTCATGCTTTAGAATATTAGATAATAGTTTGAGTAGAAATTCTGTCGTTTAAAAAAACGACGCTTAATCTTGTCACTCACCTATGCTACCCCAGAGGAAGGAGTTGAATGAGATGAGTTCCCCGCAACATTCATGCTATTGTAAAGTACAACATTGATTGAAACTTATGAATAGGCAATACGTCCATTGACTACATGTTCTTTCTGTTTCTGTTCTGAGCATCTCTTTTGAATACACTGGGAAATGGCAGCAAGTCCCAAATAGCTCGGAAACTGCTCTAGTTGTTTTGTGTTTTACAATTGCTATTTGTTTAGCTTTTTTCTACCTGAGATGTTGCTGCAGTGCAGTGTTCATGGTTGGTGCACTGGTCCAGACCAGAGCAGTGGAGGTATGCTAAACTTTTAGAAAATATCCTAATGAAGCATTTTTTTTTCAGCCTTTTACTTTTGGACCAAGCAGAGCAAAATGGTCTGAACCAAGCAGCTTCTCCACCTCTGCTGCTGTGACCTGATGTGCTGTTGCGTTTTTAATACTGTTGTAAACATTTTAGAATGTTCAATTTATTTGTTTTGTTTGTGGTGGATGGATGTGTATTTGCTGCTACTGGACACCGGACTTTCTCCTACGAGGATCAATAAATAAATCGAAAACAATCAATAAAATGCTTGTGTTATTTTTAGCGAGGTGGTCTAATTTACTGCCACGTTTCCTTATGTGATGTTGTTGATTTTACTGATTCGTGGCCTGGACTCTGACCTGGAGCAAATGGGGGAGTGGTATATTATCTTTTGCCAGAACCATCGCACCTCTTGGACCCTCAGGTGACCAGCATTTTCTTTTACATATTCTTCTCAAATTACATATATCCATTAATGTGCTTGGTTTTGGATCAGGTTTGGATGGAGGCGGGTTCTCAAGTCTTCTTTTCCTTCAGTGTTGGCGTGGGCTCTCTGACTGTGCTGGGCAGCTATGAACAAGTACAAAAACAACTGTTATAGGTGACATGCAGTTTATTTGCCTTTGTTATAATCACCAAGTTTCCGTTTTTAACTATACTTTGGGCTGATGTCTTTGTTTTCCTTTGGTTTGATAGAGACTGTATGTGGCTGTGTTTGCTGAACAGTGGGACCAGTGTAGTAGCAGGATTTGCAGTCTTTTCTGTGCTTGGATTCATGGCAAAAGAACAGGGTGTATCTGTTTCTCAGGTGGCTGAGTCAGGTAATGGGATAAGAGGATAATATAAATTCATGTTAGGTATTACAATTTTATTATGTATAAATTAGTATGGGTAAACTTACTCTAATGCCAAAGTCTACACTGCAGTACCAACATTAGATAAAAGTTGATTTTAACTGTAACTTTGAAAGCATTAGTTTAATTGGTAAACCATGTTCATATAATAGAGATTGGCCAATTAGGCCAATTATGAAAACACATTATTTTCGGAAAATGATACAATAGTTAAATGGGTCTGTAATAAAATAATGCAGATTAACCACCATGTTTTCATCAATAACATCTGGGGTATTATTCCTAGGACCAGGGTTGGCCTTCATAGCATACCCTCAGGCTATCGCCATGATGCCCCTGCACTCTGCTGTGGGCTGTTTGCTTCTTTGTAATGCTTTGGGCCTCCAAGTAAGCATTATTCTTTACCATATTTCTGTAATTATTGGTGGGCTAC